AACTACCCTGCGACGTACCCAACCCATGCGCATCAAGTGGCAAGAGGAGTAGGCCAACATTAGCAAAAACAACGACAATGTAGACACGGTGATTTGTTGCGCAATCTACATGGGACGCGCATGCGTTGCACGACTCACAAGACGACGATCGAAAGAACGAGGATCGAGGCCCCAGGCTCGAAGAAGAACGGGGACGGGAACGAGGGGCAGGAGGAGGATGGAATGGGGGGGCGAAAGGCCATCGCGGCAGCAGCAGCATGCATGGAGCAGGTGAAGCGGGGAATAGGACGACAATGAAGGTGGCGGGAGGAGACAGAAAAGCGCCGCGTTTTCAGGTATACGCTAAACACTGAGCGCTGCCTGCGCCATGTCGTCGCAGCGTTCCACAGGCTCAAACCTGCTGATAGTAAGTGCAAGAAGCGAGCGAGACTTAGCTCGCCCGCTAGCTTCTCCGCCTCATCCCTGCACATTTAGTGCGGGAGCTGAACGTTCGCAGGCGCGCCGCCAGGTCTGCGGGCGGCCCGCGGGAAATGGCACTTTTTCACAGATCGCAGCCCTCCAGGGATGGCAAAGTCTAATCTGAATCCCCGTATGACGTCACTCCGCTGGCCACCCCACCACCCCTCGAAAGTGGCGACAGTTTCGCAGATCGCAGCCCCCCAGAGATGGCGAGGTCTAATCTGAGTCCCCGTGGGGCGTCACTCCGCTGGCCGCCCCAGCAGCCCTCGAAAGTGGCGACAGTTTCACAGATCGCAGCCACCCAGGGACGGCGAGGTCTAATCTGAGTCCCCGTAGGGCGTCACTCCGCTGGCCACCCCAGCAGCCATCGAAAGTGGCGACAGTTTCACAGATCGCAGCCCCCCAGGGATGGCGAGGTCGAATCTGGGTCCCCGTGGAGCGTCACTCCGCTGGCCACCCTAGCAGCCTCGAAAGTGGCGACAGTTTCACAGATCGCAGCCCCCCAGAGATGGCGAGGTCTAATCTGAATCCCCGTGGGGCGTCACTGCGCTGGCCCCCCCAGCAGCCCTCGAAAGTGGCGACAGTTTCACAGATCGCAGCCCCCCAGGGATGGCGAGGTCTAATCTGATCCCCGTAGGGCGTCACTCCGCTGGCCCCCCAGCAGCCTCGAAAGTGGCGACAGTTTCACAGATCGCAGCCCCCCAGGGATGGCGAGGTCTAATCTGTCCCCGTAGGGCGTCACTCCGCTGGCCACCCCAGCAGCCCTCGAAAGTGGCGACAGTTTTCGCAGATCGCCACCCCCCCCCCCACGGATGGCGAGGTCGAATATGAGTCCCCGTGGGGCGTCACTCCGCTGGCCACCCCAGCAGCCCCCGAAAGTGGCGACAGTTTCACAGATCGCAGCCCCCCAGGGATGGCGAGGTCTAATCTGAGTCCCCGTGGGGCGTCATTTCGCTGGCCACCCCCGCAACCCTCGAAAGTGGCGACAGTTTCACAGATCGCAGCGCCCCAGAGATGGCGAGGGAAAGATAGGTAAAAAGCAAGCGAGGAGAGGAGGAGCGAAGAGAAGAGGATGAGGAGGTAAGAGCAAGAGAAGAGAGGAGGCGGGAGGAGGCGGGAGGAGCAGGAAGGTGGAGACCACACCGCAGTGCTCTATTCAAAACGAGTACCCAACACAGGAGGGTTGGGAAAAAAATACCCTGCGACGTACCCAACCCACGCGCATCAAGTGGCAAGAGGAGTAGGCCAACATTAGCAGGAACAACGACAGTGTAGACGCGGCGATTTGCTGTGCAAGCTACATGGGATGCGCATGCGCTGCACGATTCACAGGACGACGATCGAAAGAACGAGGCCTGAGGCCCCAGGATCGAAGAAGAACGGGCACGGGAACGAGGGGTAGGAGAGGGATGGAATGGAGGGCGGGGGGGGGCGAAAGGCCATCGCGGAAGCAGCAGCATGCATGGAGAAGGTGAGGCGGGGAATAGGACGACGATGAAAGTGGCGGGAGGAGACAGAAGACTGCCGCGTTTTTCAAGTGCGAGCTAAACCCGCAGCGCTGCCTGCGCCATGTCGTCGCAGAGTTCCACATGATAAAACTTGTTTAGAGTGCAAGGAACGAGCGAGGCGTAGCTCGCCCGCTAGCTTCTCCGCCTCCTTCCCGCACATTTCAGCGCGGGAGCTGAACGCTCGCAGGCGCGCCGCCAGGTCTGCGGGCGGCCCGCGGGAAAGAAACTCAAGGCCGGGGTCGCGCATCATCAATCGGTTGTCCATCGTCCAAAGTTGCACTGGCGACGTACTGGTTGAACGCGGAGCGAGCAGCATCACGCGCGTGCCTGAACGCCACGCAGGTACAGTGCACGCGCGATTGGGACTTCAGGTCGACCACGCGCGTCTCCACCAGGCTTGGCAACACCACGCGACTGAGGATCTCACTGCGGTCTGCCATGCTGCTGTCCGCGAATGCAATGCGCTGCCTGCAAGTAAGGCGGCGGCGTCCACTTGTCTCAGAAGATGTTCCCGCGGGCCCGAAGGGCGACCGCCAGCTCGAGCCGCGGCGCCGGCAGGCCAGATAAGGATCATGCAACAGCAAAGACGATGACAGAGCAACGAGGTATCGGCGAGTGCATGACCGGCCTCCGTTTCCTGCACTTCTTTCCTGTAGTTCCCCTAGCTCATCGAGCTCAGCAGATGTTTCTGCGGGTCCGAAGGACGACCGCCAGCTCGAGTCGCAGCGCCGACGAGCTGCATCCACATCAGGCAACACCCCAGGAGACACTGGCACACAACGATTTGACGTCAGTCAGTGCCAGACCACTCCATGTCTAGTTCCTCGCACACATACAGTCGATCGCAGATGCGGGATAATCGAAGTAGAATGACGGGTCCAATCTGCGTCCGCGTAGGACGTCACTATGCTGGACCCCGCAGCAGGTCTCGAAAGTGGCGACAGTTTCATGGGCCCCACAGCAGCCCTCGAAAGTGGCGACAGTTTCACAGATCGTAGCCCCCCAGCGCTGGCGAGGTCTAATCTGAGTCCCCGTAGGACGTCACTCCGCTGGCCCCCCAGCAGCCTTCGAAAGTGGCGACAGTTTCACAGATCGCAGCCCCCCAGGGATGGCGA